CCTCTTAACGTCAAGTTTGACGATCTCGGTTTTTCTGTTAAGGATCGAAGGACGAAGCGGGTGATCCTCCAGTGTAACTCCGATGAGGATCCGTATCCAGTCACGCAGCCGCCATGCCACACTGCCCTCTCCGCCACCGTCGTCCCGGCCAAGGTGTGGCACCAACGCCTAGGGCACGCCGGCCACGACACCCTCTCCCACACTCTGCGTGCCTGCTCCATCCCTCCGCCGCCATCGTCTTCCGAGCTCTGTCATGCTTGCCAGTTAGGGAAAAGTGTTAGGTTGCCATTTTCATCTTTAGAACATGTTTCGTATTTCCCTTTTCAGTTAATTCACTGTGATGTGTGGACTTCGCCTGTATCTAGTGTCTCTGGCAAGCAATATTATCTTGTTTTACTCGACGACTATAACCACTTTGTATGGACGTTCCCCCTCGATCGCAAGTCTGATGTGTACCCCATCCTCCACTCGTTTGCCGCCTTCGTTCGTCGTTAGTTTAACCTCAACGTTCTCACTGTCCAGTGTGACAATGGACGTGAGTTCGACAACGCCATGGCACGCACATTCTTCTCCATTGAGGGCATTGTCTTACGTATGTCCTGCCCTTACACGTCGCCGCAAAACGGGCGCGCTGAGCGGATCCTCCGCACACTGAACGACATCGTTCGCTCGCTGCTCATTCACACGTCCATGCCATACACCTACTGGGCGGAGGCCCTCAACACTGCCACATTTCTCCTTAACCGCCGTGCATGCCACACTCGTCATGGGCATACCCCGTTCTACCTCCTGTACGGTGCTCACCCGGACTACACTCATTTGCGTGTCTTTGGATGCCTTTGCTATCCCAACATCTCGTCCACGATGCCACACAAGCTCGCACCCCGTTCCACTCCGTGTACCTTCCTCGGCTACTCTATCGACCACAAGGGTTACAGGTGCCTTGATCGCGCTACGAATCGCGTCCTTATACCTCGCCATGTGGTCTTTGACGAGACGCAATTCCCGTTCAGTATCGCCCTTCGCACCCCTCCCACCATAGCCGACGAGGACCCACCCCACCTCCCTGTCGTCCCACGGCGACCGCGCTCCACCCGGCCACCACCCGCCGCCCACACCACGACGATGCCACCCACATAGGGCTGGACCAAAAGCTCGTAGCTCGTGAGCTTAATGAGCGCTCGATAGTTCGGCTCGTTAAGCTCATAGCTCGCTTCTTAATGAACAGAGCCAATCATTAATTATAGCTCATTAAGCTTAACGAGCTTAACGAGTGAGCTAACGAGTTTCACGAGTAGCTCGTTAAGCTCGTTAGCAACAACACAACACATATTTTTATCTTATGTGACAAACTTTTTGTAGCATCTCAGCCCATCTATTTAATCTAATCGACATATGAGGCAACAAACTACTTCATTTCTTTTTGTAGTCACCATATTTCATCTTGAAAACCATACCTACACATTCATCATGTATATCATAACATATTATAATCTGTTAACGAGCGCTCGCGAGCACTCACGAGGTTAACGAGCTTCAAACGAGCCGAGTCGAGCAGGGTTTTCTGCTCGTTAATCTTAACGAGCTTAACGAGCCGAGCCTTAACGAGCACGAGCTTAACGAGTACGAGCTTAACGAGCCGAGCTGCTCGTTAGTCCACCCCTACACCCACACCTGTAGTGGCTGCTGAGCCTAGCCACTGACACCTCTCTGCTCGCCCACAAACACTGTCATGGCAAACCCAGCGTCAGTAGATCATACTCGCACAGGCGCATCTGCCATCGCGAGCCGCTCCCCGACCCCCGACCCGTCCGAGCCCCCGGCCCGTCCCCTTGCTCCTACCCACACCATGATCACACGCGCTCGCGCCGGCAAATTCTTTCCCAACCCCAAATACGCTGAAAACAACTATGTCTCGACCACTCCTACCATCTCACCCATCCCCAAATCCGTGCACGCCGCGCTACGTGATGTCAATTGGCTAACAACTATGCAGGATGAATTCTCGGCGCTGATAGTGAACAGGACCTGGACGCTTGTGCCCCGACCGCCGGGTGCCAACATAGTCACTGGTAAGTGGTTGTTCCGGCACAAGTTGAAGGAGGACGGCAGCCTCGAGCGCTATAAAGCACGATGGGTGGTCTGGGGGTTCTCGCAACGCCCCGGCGTCGACTTCGACGAGACGTTCTCACCGGTCGTCAAGGCCGCCACCATTCGCACCGTGCTCACCGTGGCTGTCAGCCGAGGCTGGCCTGTTCACCAGATGGACGTGAACAATGCCTTTCTTCATGGGCATCTCGCGGAGCGCGTCTACTGCCAACAACCGGCTAGCTTCATCGACAAGAACTTCCCCAACCACGTCTGCCTGCTTGACAAGTCTCTGTACGGCCTGAAACAGGCCCCTCGCGCCTGGTTTGCGCGGTTCGTGGCCTTCCTCGGCATCCTCGGCTTCACGGTGTCCCGGGCAGACCCGTCATTGTTCGTGCTACATGGCGACACCGGCTCCGCCTTTCTTCTACTCTACGTCGACGACATCGTTCTTACAGCGTCCACGCCGGCGCTCCTCCGTCAACTCCAACAACGCATGTTCGCAGTTCTCCATGAAGGACCTGGGTGCCCTTCACTACTTCCTCGGGATCAGCGTGATGCGCACGGTCGACAGGTTCTTCCTGTCCCAGCGCAAATACGCGGATGAGCTGCTGGATCGCGCTAACATGATGACTTGCAAGCTGGCCTCGACACCCATCGACACCCGCTCGAAGCTCTCCGTTGCCGACGGTGCACCTGTCCAGGATGCCTCCGAGTACCGGAGCCTAGTGGGTGCCCTTCAGTACATCACCCTGACCCGCCCGGACATGGCGTACGCCGTGCAACAGGCGTGTCTCTACATGCACGATCCTCGGACGCATCACCTCGCGCTGGTCAAGCGCATTCTCTGCTACCTATGCGGCATGACTACGCACGGGCTGCATCTCCGTCGCTCCCCCGAGCTCACCCTGGTCGCCTACTCTGACGCCGACTGGGCCGGCTGCCCGGACACGCGGCGCTCTACGTCGGGCTTCGTCGTCTACCTCGGTGATGCGCTGGTGTCCTGGTCCTCCAAACGCCAGCCCACCGTCTCGCGCTCGAGTGCCGAGGCCGAGTACCGCGCCGTCGCCAATGTGGTAGCTGAGTGTTGCTGGCTTCGTCAACTTCTCGGGGAGCTGCGTATTCCGCTACCTGCCGCCACGGTCACCTACTGCGACAACATCTCCTCCGTGTACATGGCGGCCAACCCAGTCCACCATCGGCGCACAAAACACATAGAGCTGGACATCCACTTCGTCCGAGAGAAGGTGGCCTTGGGGCAGCTTCGAGTCCTTCACGTGCCCACGGCTCAGCAGTTCGCCGACGTCATGACGAAGGGCCTCCCGACGCCGGCCTTTGAGGAGTTCAGGTCCAGCCTGTGCATTCGGCCTCCCGATGCTCAGCCTGCGGCGGGGTGTTGACTGTAACTCTTCGTCTCCCATGCATGCTTGTACGTGCCCCATGCACTAACCCCACGATCCTCCCTCGCATGCGCACGCCGCGCCTCTGTAACCTCTCGCGCTCATGCGCTCTGTTGTAACACAGGCTATATAGCCTCGAGTAATACACACAGCGACACCTCAAGGTGCATCGCTTCCTGCTTTCTCTCGTATACAGTGCCCATTAGACTATTGGTCCAATTCGAAACCTGTCGCTCACACACTCTAATGCTGACCCCTAAATTCAGGGAAAAATGTACATGAAACTTTTGCTGGCAACTGGCAAAGATGCATGCATGATGGAGAGCTCCTCCTCCCGCCCTTTTCCTCGGGGCACCAGCACCACCATCATGCGTTCATGTGCTACCTCCGGCCATGATCCACACCCGTGACATTATTTATGTGTACCTAATGCGACCCCATCCCTTCTCCTACTACAAAGGGAGACAGCAAAGGACACTAATGGCCGCTAGCCTTGCAACTCTTACACGGGCAAACTTTTCATAAGTACTAGCCACCAAATTGGATGCCGACCCCTTGTGCTGGCTCAGTACCTGTAATGTTTATGAGGTCAAAAATGGCTAATTAAAGATTGCACCCTTCCTTGGTGATAGGGAGGCGAGTTGGTGTAGATGACATGTGGGGTTGAATCCACTCGACAGAGATCATACTCAACAATGTGATATTACAAAGGATCGCGAGCCAGAGATGATGAGAGGTCGAGACCATCCGAAGCAGTGTAGATGACATGTGTGTTCGGGTCCACACGGCCGTGATCATACTACACAAGCGATATTGTAGAGGATCCGAAGCCAAAGATGAGAGGTCGAGACCATCTGCAGTAGTGTAGATGATATGTAGGTCGAGTACACACGGTAGGGACTATACTGCGCGATGCGCTACTGCAGAGCATCCCAGCCCGAAGGCTATGAAGTAGTTAACTTCAAAATGGGCAAGCGTTGACAAGTGCCAAGAAAATACTCCCTCTGTCTCACATTTTTGGGACGGAGGGAGTACTATATTCGACCGAGAGAAAATTATTTTGCAGAGTGTCCAATTTCATGCCTCTGACCTAATTACTACTCCCTTCGTTCCTAAATATCAGTCCTTTTTGATAATCTAATATGGACAACGTACGGAGCAAAATGAGTGAATCTACACTTTAAACTATATCTATATACATATGTATGTAGTTCATGTTGAAATCTCTATCAGACTTATGTTTAGCAACGGAGAGAGTAGTCATTAGCACATTACCTGCAGCAATTATCATTGGCAGTGATGCGTGCTTGCTTTTTACAAAGCTTATCAAGGGCAAAACAGGAATACAAAATTGCAGCATTGGAGTAGCTTTAAGCCCTTTAGCCATTGGCGCCAATTAAGAACCTTCGTGCGCCGCTCACATTTTCCCTTTTAAACAACCCACCAAAGAGTGGCCTCTGTTCCTTCCTTCTTCCCCTTCATCACATCGATCCACTGCTAGCTCAGCTCATCATGGCAACGACGACGCTCACGTCAACCACCATCGCGTCGTCCCCGCGGCCGCCCGCCCCCTTCTGCGGCCGCTCCGGCTGGCAGCGCGCGCGCCGCCCGCCGTCCTCATCTTCATCCTCCGGTCAGGGCGGCTGCGCGCGGCCGCTGGACCGCGTGGCCGGGTGGGTCGGCGGCGGCATCGCCGCGGCCTTCTTCGCCTCCCTGGAGCGGTGCTCGTGCGTCAACGTCCGCACCCACGACGACCTCGACGACGACGAGCAGCGGGACTCCGTGGCGCCGCTCATGCTCGGCAACGACGGCAACGACGACGTCGACGAGGGCAGGGGGAGGAGCAGGAGGAGGTGCAGGGGAGGAAGCAGGAAGGGCAGGAGGAGTGGCGGCGGCGGCGGCGGCGGCGTGGGTTGCCACGGTGATCAAATCTGAACGACCGATCGATCAACGCTAATAAGAATCTGTAGCTTCTTGATGTTGATTCTTAAGCCCTTGTAAGTTTGATTAATGGTGTATGGATGATTGATTAACTGAGCCCAACTACATACTACCTTATGTACGTATAAGTGTAATTATAGGCTGTGAAATGTTATGCTTCAGTTGTATAGCAAAACAAAATAAGTGGACAAGATGTGAAATGTTATTTATTTTTTTTGCCGGAAAAAGTTGTTGTATGTTTAAGCTAGGATCGATTCTGATGCTCTCCTTGCACACTCTGCCTGATGTTTTTTGAGAATGCACTCGCTCCTCCGATGCCTTCGAGTTAGAAAAATGGAGTAAAATATGTAGAAGATCAAGTGGCCAGTATTAGTGGTACTGGTGCTTAGTGCTTACAATAAAATAGTGCTGATGACATTCAAATCTGTTTGCAGCATGCACTAGATTCGATACGGCGTTGTCTTGCTGAATCGCTGGAGTTCAGGTACAGCTACTCAGCTGGCGACTCTGCTTTGGCCTGGGTTCAGTCGGCACTCCGTTAAACAGGACCGTCCTGCCTTTCTTCAATGGTTTCTACCACCTGATCTCGGACGTGGAACGTTTCGACAGAGCCTTCATTTTTTTTTTGAGGGAATTCGACAGAGCCTTCATAGTCCTGCTCACAAAGTATGAGACTGACAGAACTCATGAGGCCTTTAGGCCCAAAATTGTCCCACTAAAGCCATTGCAAAACTCCTAACCAACAGACTCAAACTTCTCATCCCTCCTTTAGTCCACGGAAACCGACCCGGCTTCATTTCTGAAAGAAACATTGCTGAAAATTTATATCTACACCGTGGACATTCGAAGCTGCCACCATACTACAAAAGCTCCCACTATGGTGCTAAAGCTTGACTTTCGCAAGGCTCTTGACTCTACCTCGTGGGATTTTCTTGTAGACCACTATTTTCGCAAAGCTCCCACTATTTTCTTGTGCACATTATCAAATTCATAAGTTATTTTAAAAATTGATAACTTTTTTCAAACCACAAACTTTATTCTCCCAATTTGTGAACTTTTTCTAGAAAAGTCAACGATCAATCAAACAGTTGGTCAACCGGTCATCCGAACAACCGAATGGGAGACGACGTGAACGAGCCATCAGTAAGGCGACAGGAGGCACGTGTTTCTTCTTTTTATTTCCTTTTTCGTTTTTGATGTTCGAGATTTATTATATTGATATTAGTTCTAAAATGCATGCGCTTCATTTTTACACCTTTTGTTTTTGTTTTTTTATATTTTTATTTATACTTCCTGATATTTCGAATATATATATTACAAAAACCATTTTACATAAAAATGTTTGAAAAAATGTTAAACAAGCATTTGAAAAATGTTAAATATGTCAGAAAATGTTTATCATGTATACGAAAAATTTATATAAAAATATAAAATATTTTTGAAAAAACTTGATCATGTATATGAAAAATCATAATCAAGCATTTGAAACAAATCTTAAACAAGTATTTCAAAAAAATTAATCAAGCATTTGAAAAATGTAAAATTTGTATATAATTTTTTTGACCATGTATTAAAAATATCAAACTTGTATTTCAAAACTGTAATCATGCATTTAAAATGTTTATACAAAATGTTGACCATGTATTAGAAAATGTTAATCTTGTATATGAAATCTTTTAATCAAGCATTTGAAAATTTTTTAATGAGTACAGAAAAAATGTTGACCATGTATTGAAAAAATGTTAAACAAGCATTTGAAAAATGTTAAATGTGTATAAAAATGTTTCTCATGTATATTTCTTAAAAAGTCAAGCTCTTCAGAATTGGCCAAATTTATATTTTATTTCCATATATACACTATAAGAAAATGTCATTAGATACACCATAACATCTTTTTATACTGTATATTTATTTGGTATCATTAGATATTTTTCTCTATAATTTTTATTAAATATTATGATGTTTGTTTTTCAAAAGAGAAAAACACACTATGTTTTGATGTGGACGAGGTATTTTTGACAGGGGGGATGGAGGAAGTACAGACATAGCTTTTGTTTCTTTAAGAAAAAAATATCTTTCTTAGAACGTAATATGTCATTATTTTGTTGGTCCATCCTTCCTACTGTCTTACACACAAACTGTCTTGGGCCGACAATGTTCTAAGACGAGGGTGTCAATATTATTCGTTGCTACGGAGTAGTCCAATCCCATCCACCCATAGGCTAGTAGTATTCAAATTGAAGCCCACCAAGCTTGCTCTTCCATTATTTACAGTATATAGTTCTCGAATGCTTCCGCTAAAAAAAGTTCTTGAATGCACCTGCCATAAACAGTAAAAATCTAGCTATAGAAATGAACAGTAAAATATAGGAAAAGAGAAAAAAAATCAAAACATATCTGATTTTCCCCAACAAACATTGATCTACCTACATTCAAATTTCCGTGATTAAATGATATTCGTGGCAGTGTGGGCCAAAAAAACAATCAGTGCTCCAAAAACATTTAATAGCATTGGGTTTTTCCCAGGAGCATTATAAATGTTTTTTCTTCATGAAACTTTGCGCGCAGATGAAACACTCAACAATGATTATCACAAAATCTCTTATCTAGCAGTGACTACCGAGCGACTAGTGATTGTGGCACATGCGAGCATAATTTGCCTTCATGTAAAATTTTCCATCGCATGTTTTGGCAGAGACTATATTAGTAGTAGACAATAACCTAGGAGTGTATAACTTTGCTTTTGTGCTTTATTAACCGAATCAAAAATTAACCAGAAATGTAAAAAGCAGGCAAATCCCAAAGCAGACTCTCAAAAGAGGGCCAAAGAACCCGAAGTGCCCCTCGGCTGGACACCTGTTCCAAACCGCTCACATGCAGACCTGAAAAGCTCGACCACAACCATCTGGATTTGATCGAAAGTAGGAGGAACACGCAGCTTTATCCCGAAATTTGGATGCACCATTGCACCCCATGTGTTTGGCACTACAAAGCTAAAACCATGCAAAAGCATGGACCTAGCACCAATCATACGTACGTTCATGCATGCAAGATAGCTGCAACTAACTAACTCTACATAGCCAAAGGGAGCCATCTGTCCACTGCATGCAAGCTTGCTGGGAACATTAGTTTTGTGTGAGGCTTTCTTGTACCTAGGGGCTAAGGCTGTCCGTTAGAGGCACATCTCCTTAGCTACCCGCCACTAGTATTTGGAGATTTGATAAATAAAGAAAGAAAAGAGGAAGAGATACATTTCACTTCACCAACCTGGGCTAGCATGAACGGTGACACTCATCGCAGGTTTTGGCACTAGAAAATGAACGGTGCATGTTGGAATTTTGCTAGTAGGCCTTTGGCCCAAAGCCCAACTAAAATTCTAAAATTCTCTTGGCCCATTCATGCACACATGTGAGTGGAGTGAGTGAGGCTAGATGGTTATGTTTCCTAACCATAAACAAAAGAGTTGTTATTTGATTAATGGGATCACATCATTAGGAGAATGATGTGATTGACATGACCCATTCCATTAGCTTAGCACTCGATCGTTTAGTATGTTGCTATTGCTTTCTTCATGACTTATACATGTTCCTATGACTAAGAGATTATGCAACTCCCGTTTGCCGGAGAAACACTTTGTGTGCTACCAAACGTCACAACGTAAGTGGGTGATTATAAAGGATCTCTACAGGTGTCTCCAAAGGTACATGTTGGGTTGGCGTATTTCGAGATTAGGATTTGTCACTCCGACTGTCGGAGAGGTATCTCTGGGCCCTCTCGGTAATGCACATCACATAAGCCTTGCAAGTATTGCAACTAATGAGTTAGTTGTGAGATGATGTATTACGGAACGAGTAAAGAGACTTGCCGGTAACGAGATTGAACTAGGTATTAAGATACCGACGATCGAATCTCGGGCAAGTAACATACCGATGACAAAGGGAACAACGTATGTTGTTATGCGGTCTGACCGATAAAGATATTCATAGAATATGTGGGAGCCAATATGAGCATCCAGGTTCCGCTGTTGGTTATTGACTGGAGACGTGTCTCGGTCATGTCTACATTGTTCTCGAACCCGTAGGGTCCGGACGCTTAAGGTTTCAATGACAGTTATATTATGAGTTTATGAGTTTTGATGTACCGAAGGAGTTCGGAGTCCCGGATGAGATCGGGGACATGACGAGGAGTCTCGAAATGGTCGAGACGTAAAGATCGATATATTGGACGACTATATTCGGACATCGGAAAGGTTCCGAGTGATTCGGGTATTTCGGAGTACCGGAGAGTTACGGGAATACGTATTAGGCCTTATTGGGCCATACGGGAAAGAAGAAAAAGGGCCTCAAGGGTGGCCGCACCCCTCCCCTTGGTCTGGTCCGAATTGGACTAGGGAAGGGGGGGCGCCCCCTTCCTTCCTTCTCCTTTTCCCTTCCTCTTTTCCTACTCCATATGGGAGGTGGAATCCTACTAGGAGTAGGGAGTCCTAGTAGGACTCCACACTTGGCGCGCCCCCTCCTAGGGCCGGCCTCCTCCTCCCTTGCTCCTTTATATACGGGGGCAGGGGGCACCTCTACACACAAGTTGATCCGCGTGATCATATTCTTAGCCGTGTGCGGTGCCCCCTTCCACCATAATCCTCGATAATATTGTAGCGGTGCTTAGGCGAAGCCCTGCGACGGTAGAACATCAAGATCGTCACCACGTCGTCGTGCTGACAGAACTCTTCCCCGACACTTTGATGGATCGGAGTCCGGGGATCGTCATCGAGCTGAACGTGTGCTAAAACTCGAAGGTGCCATAGTTTCGGTGCTTGATCGGTCGGGCAGTGAAGACGTATGACTACATCAACCGTGTTGTGCTAACGCTTTCGCTGTTGGTCTACGAGGGTACATAGATCACACTCTCCCCTCTCGTTGCTATGCATCACCATGATCTTGCGTGTGCGTAGGAATTTTTTTGAAATTACTACGTTCCCCAACAGTGGCATCAGAGCC